TTGATGTTTCTCTCCCTCTCTCCTTCCCCTCCCCTCTAAAGATAAATAAATAAAATCTTTAAAAAAAAAAAAACAACCCTGCCCCAAGAACAACTGATCGAATTCTAACCTCCCTTTGTTGGCTCCACTTTCCCCTCTTATTCCCCATTAACAAACCGTGCTCCTTAGCTGGCTGCATCCTTCTGGTTTCCTGAATGACTTCAATCTAACATTATTGATTTGAGAGAGAGAGAGAGAGAGAGAGAGGAGGGGGGCGAGAAAGGGAGAGAAAGGCTGAGGTGAGAGAAAGATCAATCGGTTGCCTCAAAAAAGGTGAAAAGGATTCAGCTGTCCTCTAGTTGAAAATAAAGTGCAACTTTTTATTGGCACCATCTTTAGACAGAAAATTGAGAAAAATCAGAAAATCTACCTTAGAAGGTTGTTGGGCAGATTAAAGAAAGAATATTTGTCAAATAATTTATAATGCCCAGCAGATGGTGAGCGCACAGTAAACGTGAAATGATCACTAATGCCCTAAAATGTCTGAAATTATAGGCCCTGGCTGTGTAGCTCAGTTGGTTAGAGCATTGCCCCGATACACCCAGGTTGCGTGCGGGTTCAGTCCCCAGTCAGGGCATATATAAGAAGAAACCAATAAATGCATTCATTAGTGGAACAACAAATCTGTGTATGTGTGTGTGTCTAAAATCAATAAATAAAATATCTAAGATTGTTACCTGCTATCACACTCTATGTTTTTAATTGATGTGTATTTTTCATGTGAGAGAAGTGCCCCCAAATAATGAGGAATCCGTTTCTTTATGGACGAGTTTCCGCATGACACAGTCTCCCTCTGGCTATTGCCATTTCACCGGCAGAGTGGTTGTGCGAAGCAGTGTTTTTCATTTTTACTAACTTATGTGAGAAAGTAGTGAATTTCAGCACACTTTCTTTTTGCACCCCAGTTTCTCAATTACAGGCTCCCCTTAAATACCTGTGGGGAATCTGAAATTTGCAGCTGGAGGAAGGTTCACGACGTCCCAGAAATGTCTTTTTGTCATGTCATAAAGTACTACCTCGTATAAACGTCTCTCTTCCGGGAACCCTACTCCCTGAGCTGAGAAAAGTCTGCGCTTTACTTATTTTCATCTTTCTAGGTCAGAGGTTCTCAACGCTGGCCCATTTTGGAGCCTCTATTTTTATATCTGCTTTCCAGGTCCTTCTTCCTATGCTGTGCCCCGTCATCCCTTTTTGCTGTCCTCGCGTGGTGCCCCGATCCCCGCGCCCAGGCGTGGCACTGTCCACGGCTGGTGGCGTGCGTGTCCCGCCTTCCGAGTCCTCACAGGGGTGGGTGTTCTAGTCTCCAAGTGAAGCCAGCTGTTGCTCCCCTGGGTGACAAGCTCAGACTGACACCGTGTTTGCCGACACCAGTGGTGGCCTCACAGGGCACAAGAGTGAGCGTCTGTGACCATGTTCCATGCCGGCCACTGTTTATCTCAGGTCCTTCGCCCTTAGTCCACTCCCCGAGAATTCCGCCCCTCCAGACGTGCTTCACGTTCATCAAGCAGCCCCTCTGCCTTACGTCCTTTAGGGACCTGCAGGGCCGAGGAGCCGCTGTGTCTGAGTGTGTCACAAAGAATCCTGAAGGCTGAAGGTGAAATGCAGTTTGGCACTTAATTTGGACCATGAATGGCCAAAGGGTCGCCAGTTTGATTCCCACTGAGGGCACATGCCTGGGTTGCAGGCCAGGTCCCCAGGAGGGGGGCCATGTGAGAGGCAACCACACATTGATGTTCCTCTCCCTCTCTTTCTCCCTCCTTTCCCCTCTCTAAAAATAAATAAATAAAATATTTTTAAAAAGATTCTGGTGTACAACTCTACGATACATCATCTGTATATTCCATTATGAGCCCCGCCCAAGTCTGGTCTCCTTCTATCACCAGGTATTCGACCCCCATTATTCTCCTTACATATTTTCAAGCTAAGAAACAGTGGTTGAAAAGTCTCCTCATTAAGTTACAGACAGGGCATCTTTCCCCTGATTTATAGACTTTGGGCAAGAAAGGAATTAAATGTGAAAGAGAGAGGAAGAAAAAAACAAAGAAGAGAGAAAGAGAGAGGAAGGGAGGAAGAGAGGGAGGGAGAGAGAGAAAGAGAAAGAAAGAGAGAGAAAGAAAGGAAGGAAGGAAGGAAGGAAGGAAGGAAGGAAGGAAGGAAGGAAGGAAGGAAGGAAGGAAGGAAGGAAGAGAGAGAGAGAGAGAGAGAGAGAGAGAGAGAAAGAAAGAAAGAAAGAAAGAAAGAAAGAAAGAAAGAAAGAAAGAAAGAAAGAAAGAAAGAAAGAAAGAAAGAAAGAAAGAAAGAAAAATAGGGAGGGAGGGAGGGGGGGAAGTGGTACTGATGAGATGGAACAGGTGGTTGCGGACGCCATGGTGTCGGTCATTTGCAAAATGTGTCTGTCATATCAGTACCTTGAACACCTCACACTTATACAATGTTAGATGCCAATCATACCTCTCTGTAAAAAAAAAAAAAAAAGCCCTTCTCTGTACCCTTTGCTCAAGCATTTTAAATAGGCCTCGTTAGCATATCTTGCAGTACATCTACCACCCACCACACTGAGAAAACCAAACGCTGAACCCTGGTTTTCAGGCTTGGTGACAAGAGAAAGCCTGCAAATCCTTCAGGGGGGAAATGAAAATAAGACAAAGTGAGCACTGCGCTCACGCAAGCGCCCAGTGCAGCTCTCTCTGCAGCACCGCTGAGCCATTCTGTCTTCTCACACTCCCGTGACTTCCTTTGGGGTGGTGGCGAGTACTTGTGAGCATCGCTTACAGGGAAGTCGCTTTGTCATTCTGGAAGGAAACGCAAAGCAGGGGCCTCCTGGAGACCTGTCCCGGCCGATACGAAATGCAACCCAGCTGTTCTGTTCTTCCATAGGAAGGCGGTATTGCTGTTCTGACCTCCCGCTCACGGTACCTTTACAGCAGGGGCGTCAAACTCATCGTCACCAGGGGCCACGTCAGCCTCACAGTTGCCTTCAAAGGGCCAGATGTAATTTCAACTCCTTAACAGTTAAGGGGTAGTTACATGTGTGTGGGGGCAACATTGCCCGCAAAGTGCCCTGGTTCGCCATGGATGAAAGTAAACACTACCAAGACGTGATCTGCTTGGGGAGGAAAGGTGGCTGATCCCTCAAAGGGGAAGGGCCCAGAGCCCTCTGCTCAAGGGGCTTTAATTGGGCTCAACTGCACAAGAATAAAGGTAAGGATCAAACAATAGACAGCATTCAAAGAACCATGAGGGCTTATTCTCAGTCAGGGTCAGATAGCTAACAAGCCATAAAACTTTAAGGAACAAACTTCTTGCTTAGACCCTTATCATTTAAATGAGAGTATTCTACACAAAGCAAGTTTCACAGGACTTTTACATAGTCTTTCTTATGCCTAATTTATGCCCCCCCCATACCCACCCTTTCCAGCACAGGGCTGCACTGCCTTCCCCATCATAGGTTTTAGGCTTAAGTGGATTAAAGCCAGGAAGCACTTCTCCCAGACGAAAATGGGGACTCAGACTGTGTCACAATAGGGGGGGACGAGGGTCCATGGCCCCCTCTTTGTCGCAGCCCCTGAGTCCTTCCATGATGGCCTCCCAGGTGAACGTGTCCGGCCTAGGTTGCCCCTCTCTGACGGGTCGTACCCACCACAGACATGGACCACGCTTTGGGGGCAGGGGAAGAAGCAGAAGCAGCGCTGCTGCCAGAGACGAGCTTTGTCTCCTGTGGCTCATGTTCCGGAGGTCGCTCACTCAGCCGTGGGAGGCAGTTACAACTCCTGAAACCAGGCAGGGCGGCTCCCAACACATGTATACAGTCCTAGAATTATGTCGGCCCTTTGAAGGTGAGGAGAGGCCGACGGGGCCCCAGGCGAAGATGAGCCGGACAGCCTCGCTGTGTAGAGTGCTCCAGGTGAGCAGCGTCCCAGGGGGCAGGCCCCCTCCAAACGTATCTGTGATGCCCGCAGTCCCCTGGGCTGGTGCGTGCCTTCTGCTGGGACCCTCCTGCTTCCTGGGCAGGACCTCGGGGTGCAGCCATTCCCACCCCCATATCCAACGGTCAGAGCAGAGTCATTCTGGGTTGTGAGCACGGAACGTGTCAGTGCCGTGTTTCACACTCGCTCTGCACCTTCTGTTGGAGTCAGTGTCTGCCTTGGGCGTCCGTGGGCTCTGCACTTCTCTGTCGCTGCCTTGTCTTCTGTCCTTTCTTTTGAAATCCTCACTGAAGACCTTTTATTACTGATTTGAGAGGGAGAGAGAAACAGACAGACATTTATCAGTTGCTTCCCAACTGCACCTGACCTGGGATCGAACCCACAACCTGGGTATGTGCCCTGACCAGGAATCGAACCCACAGCCGTTTGGTGTACGGGATGACGCTCCGACCCACTGGGCCACCTGCCCAGGGCCTTCTTGCTCCTTTTGACGTGGGTGGTGCTGTTTGAGAAGACTCCTGAGTGAAAATAACAGTAATTGATCTGTACGCCAGTTATGGATTGCTTGTTCTATGCCCAACTGAAGGGTTGTGAGAATCATTTCCTTTCTGCTTCATAACCCAGTGAGGAGGTGGACACCGCTCTTGTACCCATTTCACAGAGGAGAGAACCGGGGCTTCCGCAGGTCGCACTGCCAGTCAGAGCTTGGCCTGGGGAATGAGCGCAGGTCTGCGTTCAGGCTCTGAATTGTGTTCTACTACCCGTTGGCCCCTCCGGACACCACGTGTTTATTGCAGTGTGAGAGTCCCAGAGCGGGTTCACCAGCGTTGTCACACTGGTTAACGCGTGTTGCGTGTGGGCTGTGTTGAGTCGGGCACTGCACCAAGTCCTCAGGGAAAGGACTGTGGGGGGCGGGATGTGGGGTGAGGGGTGAGAGGCTCCGACACAGGGAGGCGCTCCCACAACGCAAAGGAAACTCGAAGAAAGGTCCCCCGCTCCAACAACCCCCGGGCCTCCCCTGTCGTTCTGTTGCAGGAATACCAGATCGATATTTTCTTCGCTCAGACCTGGACGGACAGCCGCCTCCGGTTCAACAGCACGATGAAGATCCTCACTCTGAACAGCAACATGGTGGGGCTGATCTGGATCCCGGACACCATCTTCCGCAACTCCAAGACGGCGGAGGCGCACTGGATCACCACCCCGAACCAGCTCCTGCGCATCTGGAACGACGGGAAGATCCTCTACACGCTGAGGTAGGGCGCTGGGGGCAGGGCGTTCCGAGGGTCTGACTCGGGTCCCTCCCTTAGGTCACTGGCGGGACGGGGCTCTAGTTTCTCCGCCGAGTTCTGCCCCGTCCCCTGGTCGAGGCGCCACAGCAGCGTGGTGCCTGGAAATGCGCCCTGATGGCACGTGGGTGAACTTGCCACGCGCGCACCGGCTGCGACGAATCCAACCCGTGTCTTCAGCAGATTCCGTCTCTGCTGCAAGTGGGCCATGGAAATTACCTTTAATCTATTTAACCCGCGGGTCCACTTAGCTAGGAAAATAAAGATGTCTTGGCGTACTAATTAACAAATGTAATTATAGGAAATTAACAAACCTGAAAGTACAAGGGGAAAAACAGCACGGAGGGCGGTCCGCAATGCAGCCCTAAAGGCCGCGGCGGCAGCCGCATCTCGTGCGCTCCTGGCGGTACCGCTGTCCCCGCAGAAATCTGGTTAGTGGAGAGAAACCGGCTCCCGAGGAGGGAGCTGACCTGCCCAAATCACTAGTGGGAGCTACTGTTCCCAGGGTTCGATCGTGGGTCTGCGTCTGTCAAAGCCTCCCCGTGCGGTGGTTTGAGCCTGCCCCGCACACTGCGACATGCCACGGCCACACCCGCCCCCAGCCAACCTTCCTGGGCACCCAGCGGGAGGATCTGGCGGGACCTTGGGGCGCTGCCTGCCCTGGGTCTGAGGCCTCGTCCGGCTCCGACGGACTCCCCGGCAGGCCTTCGCTGCAGGAAGGCTCCTGTCTGCGCCTCCTACGCTGCCTCGTCTCTCCCTTCTGCCTCTGACGCCCCCCTCAGGTTGCTCACCCTGCCCTTTCCTGCGGGCTTAGCTCCCTCCCTCGTTCCCAGGACTGTAAAAGCCACACCCACGACGGAGATTCCCACGGGCCTGTTTCTGACCCGCCACTCAGGACTCCAGATTCTTGGGGGCCCCAGCCTGGGTGATACCATACTTTGCCATGTGTAATGCGCTCCAGTGTATAATGCGACCCATATCTCAGCGCTAAACCCATGTATAATGCACACCCTTGTTTTTCTCGCAAAAATGTAGGCCAAAAAATGCGCATTATACAGGGCAAAGTAGCCCCTCCTGAAGGTCTAAAAGGCATTTCAAGTTCAGCACGCCTCAGGAGACGTTGACTTCTCTTAATTCTTCTGACCCACGTCCCGGCATCCTCCTGGCTCCTGAGCGCCACCAGCGCCCCCCACGCCCCCCAGCACCCTCTCTCTCTACGCACATCCCCTATCATGAGCCTTTACTGGCAGGTGATCGGTGGCCCTGCCAAGATAGCTGTCACGCACAACGGTAAACAAGCGTCCACAGCCCAAATCAAGACACAGAGCAGCAGCATCCAAATAAGCAGAGTAGAGAATTGCAACGCTTCAGGGAAGTGCGTAATAACCTTGCCTGGCTGGGGTCCACAGCAGGAGCGCCACCGCAGGGAGCTCCGGGGTTTGTAATAGCGGTTTCCCCATCCGTCTTAAAGGCATATGAGTCAGATCCGGAATGGAGGTCTCAGCAAACCAGCGCGAGACGTGGCCGGTCCTGGGATCCTCTACAGAACCTCTGAGTCCCGGGCTCTGTGTCCGGGGAGCATGTGGGACAGCTGCCACCTTCCAGGCCGATGGGCAGTTATGCATCCCACCCCCGCTCCACACACACACACACGTGGATTAGTTTTGCATTCTACCTATTTAGACATGCACACCAGTTTCAAAGAAGGAAGGGCTGGATCCAGCCAAAACGATGAAAAACCAGGACTTAGAACCACCCTTCCAGACTTGGCTTAGGTTTCCAGACACGGTGGAATTTTACCAACAGCGAGTTTCCCCAGTACTGATGGTGAGAAGCGCTACCACGTTCCACAAACGCAGAGCGAGCTACCAGATGATATCGCTGAAGGGCGGTGGCACCGCCAGGAGCGAGCCATGCGCGCTGTCGTCCCACCCCCCACCCCAGGTCCCCCCCCCCCCCGCAGCTGTGGTAATGTGACTTTGCTGGGTTCTGGCGGGCTGACCTTGAGAGTGACCTTGGCTCCCCCGCAGGCTCACCATTAACGCAGAGTGCCAGCTGCAGCTGCACAACTTCCCCATGGACGAGCACTCCTGCCCGCTGATCTTCTCCAGCTGTGAGTACCTCCACGCGAGATGCGGGTGCAGGGCTGTCTCCCCTGGGCTGCGGGTCGGCCTCTGGTGGCGGGATTCCTCACAGCCTCCCTCCCTGGACAGACAGGGGGTGGTCTTGGCCACCTGGGTGTTTGCACTCTGCACTTTATCCATGGGACCCCTGCTCCAAAAGAGGTGCTTTTTTGGTACAGCAGTGAGTGACGTAACCATTGATTTTAATATTAAAGGCTTCAGAAATTGGTGAACATGTGACATACCACATACCTTTCTGCATGTGAGCTGTCTTGTGTATTATTTGGGAGTATAAAAAATGTATTTCTGGTAATTTTGGGTTTCATGTTATTTCAAGGAAGATAATCTGTCTTCTAAATCGAAAGATTAAAAAGTTAGTTAAATCTATTTATATTTGTCTCATTGCACTGTTGTAGGGCATAATTTTCACAGTATTTCATGTTTCAATATTTTACTTATGATTGATATGATAGGTAACAAGTAATTGTTTAATAATTCTTAAAGACAATATCTAATGCATACAAGGATACTTACAAAAAGAAACATCAAATGTATTTGCTTATTTATAAAATAAGCTGTTGAAGTAGAGGTCAGTATGGAAACACATCTGTAGAATTCGTGATGGTTCATTTTAAATGTGTTGATCACAGCTCTGTCAGCATGATCATCAGAACTCACTGAGTTTCATTGGTTTTCGGCATCATTGCTGATGGATCATGACCGACACACGGGATGTCACCTGCCAGTTCGGTGGCTTCGCCTCCCTGGACATTAGTGAGAAGACAAAAGTAAAATAAGGGAGGAACAGATTTTACAGCTCATTTTAGGTTCAGAAATAAAGACAAGCTAGAAAGCAAAATTTCACTGATGTCCAAGATTGAGTGAAAATGTTTTATGTATTAGATTAGTTGAATCCATCTCCAAAAGCCGTTACATTTTCAGTCTCTGAGGTAGATGCCCAACGTCCGGGGTGAGCCACTGTGTAGAGAGTTTGGGCCCGATGTCTTTATTTGATGACTTTAAAAGTTATGGGACCATTCAAATTGTCTAGTTTCTTGTGAATCAGTTTGGTATATATGTGTATAATTTTTCCTAGTGATGTATTCACTTAACTCTTAATCAGTCCTGTTGGTGAACCCATTTGCCTACATTGATCTTTCCAATGATCGGATATGCGCTGAAGTCATCTACTGAGTTTATAATTTCATTGATTCCTTTTCATGACTGTATATTCTATCTTGTTTTTAATTCTGATTTCCACACAATTTTGACAACATCTGATTGCTTTGCCAAATTTTCAATACCATCTTCTGTTCATTTATATTTCCTGAATATTCTGATATATTTGTGGGAGCCATTTGCAGAGTTTGTTGTTTCGTTTTACTGCGTCTCATAGTAATTTGTAATTTGAGCTGTTTCCTGGACTCTCTTCCGTGGGATTTCTTTGAGGCTTACATTTAATGCAGATTCACCCAGAGTGGGTCTGCTCTGCCTCTCCTTGGTGTCTCTGTCCCTTTAAATCACAGTTCAGCCTGGGTTTCTGGGCCAAGCAGGTGGTGTGAATTGTGGCCACAGGTCTTTGTCATCTCAGGCTGTGGTTTTAAATTCTTAGGAGGCATAGTTCTTGCTTTTCTGTTCTTCCTACAGCCAAAGCTAAACAGGAACTATCCTTTAAAAAATATTTTATTTATTTTATTCTTAGAGAGAGGAAAGGAGGGAGAAAGAGCAGTAGACAAACATCAATGTGTGGTTGTCTCTCATGCGCCCCCTACTGGGGACCTGGCCCACAAACCAGGCATGTGCCCTGACCGGGAATTGAACTGGCAACCCTTTGGTTCACAGGCCAGCACTCAGTCCACTGAGCCACACAAGTGAGAGCCAAACAGGGACTGTCCTTACACTGAGAGAATCTCCTGAGTGCCCTCCCTTTCCTGTCAATGCAGCTCAGGTGTTTGTTGGCAGATGAATCAAAAAACAAAACGTGGTAAATGCACACGATGGAACACTATTCAGACTCACAAAGGAAGGAGACTGAAACACACACTACAACACAGATGAACCTAGAAGACATTATGTTAAATAAAATAAGCCAATCGCTAAAAGACGCATACTGCATGATTCTATTTACTTGAGGTACCTGGAGTAGTCAGAATAGTAGACATGGAAAGTAGGGCCAGGAACAGAGAGGAGGGTTACTGCGTCATGGGGATAGAATTAGAAAACTGTCCTGGAGACGGATGGTGGTGATGGCTGCCCCAAAAGATCAGTGTATTCATGTTACTGAACTATACACTTAAAACTGGTTAGGATGGTACCTTTATGTTATGTGTATTTTACCACAATAGAAAAATCAGGAAAAAAGTATAGTAACTGAAATAAAACATTCACCAGAGGGGATCGGCAGATCGGCATGTGAATAACAATGAATCGGCACACTTAAGTACAGGTCCATTGTTATTATCTGGTCCGAAGAAGAGAAAGATTAAGGATGGAGAAGGATCAACAGAAACTCAGAGAGTGGTGGGTCATCCCTACCCAACATGTGCTTCAGGGGAACCCCAGAAGGGGGGCAGAAAGAATAGAGTGATGTAAACTCCCCAAATTTGATGAAACACATGAATCTGCATATCCAAGAATTCAGTGGACCTAAGCAGGATAGACTCAAAGAGATCCGCATGGACATGTTACGCACCATCACAAGACAAAGAGAAAATGGCAAGAGAGAGGCAAACATGAAGGACACGTAAGTTGTCCTTAGTAAGGTTTGTAGTTAGTTCCTCATAAAAAACCCTGGAGGCCGGAAGACTGAAAGAAAAAGACTGTCTCGGAGAATTCTAATCACAGCAAGTCTACCCCTCAGAACGTAAGGAGAACAACATCTTTAGATAAACTGGAACAGAAAAGGTACAGCCAACAGAGGTGCCCGTCTTACAAGAAATACTAAAAGAGCCCTTCATGGTAAAATAAAAGTATATTGGGGGTGGAAATGGAGCTATATAAGAGCAAAGTTGGGGGGGTTTACATTCTTTCGAAATCCACTTACCATTACTCCATACTAGAAGATGTTCATTATAATACTCAGGATAAGAAAATAGCAATCAGGTATAGCAAAAGAAATGATAGGGTGCTTAACATGTTACACTATAAAATGTCTGTTTAATGCCAAAAAAGGGGAATAAAGGAAGAATAGAGGAACAAAAAAGACATAAGACATATAGAAAAAAATAGTAAAATGACAGACATAAACTCTATCTAGTCAGTAAATACATTGAATGTAAAAAGATTAGACACTCCAGTCAAAAGTCAATGACTGAGCCCTGGCTGGTGTGACTCAGTGGATTGAGCACCAGCCTGCAAACCAAAGGGTCGCCACTTCAATTCCCAGCCTGGGTTGTGGGCCAGGTCCCCAGTGGGGGGCATGTGAGAGGCAACCACACAGTGATGTTTCTCTCCCTCTTTCTCCCTCCCTTCCCTTTTCTCTGAATAAATAAATAAAATCTTAAAAACAATTGGAAAAAAATGGATGAAGTTAAACCACTATCTCGTACTATATACAAAATTAACTCAAAGTAGATGAAAGACATACATGAAGGGTGAAACCATAGAACATTTTGAAGATGCTATATGTATATCTTTGTGACCTTGAATTAGTCAATAGTTTCTTTTTTTAAGATTTTATTTATTTATCTTTAGAGGGGAAGGGAAGGAGAGAGGAAGAGAAACATCAATGTATGGTTGCCCTTCGTGCGTCCCCTGCTGGGAACTGGCCTGCAGGGAACCAGCCTGCAACCCAGGCATGTGCCCTGACTGGGAATCGAACCGCGATTATCTGGTTCGCAGGCCCGTGCTCAATCCACTGAGCTACACCAGCCAGGGCTCAATAGTTTCTTTTTTTAAAAAAAGATTTAATTCATTAATTTTTTTTTTTTAGAGAGAGAGAGAAAGACAGGGAAACATCAGTGTGTGAGAGACACATTGATCAGTTGCCTCTCAGATGCACCCAACCAGGGACCTGGCCTGCAACCCAGGCATGTGTCCTGGGCCAGGAATCAAACCAGTGACCTTCTGGTTCTCAGGGCGGCACTCAGTCCACTGAGCCACACCAGCCAGGGCCAGTGAATGGTTTCTTAGATTTGACACTAAAAGTGAAAGTAACAACATTTTCAGAAATAGTTAAATGAGACATCGCATCATAAAAATGCAAAATTTGATACTTCAAAGGTCATCATGAGTGTGAAAGAACACTCCCAGAATGGGAGGAAATATATGTAAATCATATTTCTGCCAAGAGTCTAGCATCCAGAATGTATAAATAATTCTTAGAAATCAACAAAAAAGACAAACAGCCCAATTAAAAAACAGGCAAAAAATATTTCTCCAAAGACGATGCACAAGTGTCTAAGAAGCACATGAAAAATCCCCCATATAATTAGACATTAGGGACATTCAGATAGAAACCACAATTAGACACACAAATGTCACACTCAGTAGGTTGGCTATAATTTAAAAAAATAGGCAAGAAGAGGGGGTTGGCAAAGAGGTAGAGAAATTGCAACCCTCTACGTGGCTGGTGGGAATGTAAAACGGTGCAGCTGGTGCGGGCAGTCACGTGGCAGCTCCTCCGCAAGTTAAATGGAAAGTTACTACATCGCCCAGCAATTCCATTCCAAGACACACACCGAAGGCAACTGAACACATCTGTCCACACAAAGTCTCAAACACAGTTGTTCATAGCAGCCGTGTTTACACGGCCAAATTTTGAAACAACCCAAATGTCCACGAGCTGATAGATAAACAAATTGTGGTGTAGTTAGGCAGCCGAATATCATTTTGCCTTAAATAAATGGAAGAGCCCAGTCTCTCGTGCAGAAGAATTCCATATAATTTATGTAGATAATCTTCCTTCAAGGAGACAAAGCACAGCTGCCTATCCTTACATCAAGGTGGAGCGGACTGACCTCCTGCCAAAGACCCTAGAGCGAAAGAGGGG